AGCTCGCCGTTTAAAACTGCCGCTTCGATCCCGGCGAAGTCGGTTCTAGAGGTGAAAGTTTAACGACTGCTTTCAGCGTAGTTCGGGGGGAGGGGGGGGTGGATGACTCGCGCCCATTAACAACACCGGAGCGTCGTAAAGATATGTCTCGACGTATTTACGTGTGCGAGACCAAGCGNGGGGGGGGGGGGTTGTAAAGAGGGTATTCACTAAATGCTCTCGCGGTCGATGGAGGAGACGTCGAACGCATTCGAGCACTTTTTCCGCCGGGGTCGATTGCCGTTTCCCAACGCGCGCTCGCGACTCACCCCGTGTATTTAATCCCAACAGGGAGTCCCAGTGGGGAATGACGTCGCGTATTGACGGTAATACAATACAATGCGAAACGCGCGACTTTGGCCGATGTGTAGTGTCCGATAAAGTATTATTATTATTACTCTATTATATATATATATATAATATTATTATATATTATGCGGGACGAAGCCGAGCAAAAGATTATATCCAGTCGTTCATTCTTCCTTCACGGCGCGGTTTACTTCGCGTTAAATTTGCGCCGAGAGACGAGCTCCGATGTATCTCTCGCTTACGAAGGAGTTGGAGGATGAGATCGTTTGTCGCGAAAATGTCTCCCGCGCGAGGAGCGGACAGTCCATGTAGAGAGAGAAAGAGAGAGAGAGAGAGAGAGAGATCGGACTCGAGCGCTAATGAAATATTGGTTATTTAGCGGAGCGAGTGCTTTCGCGGTGAGACGGGACGCGGCTCGTGAGAATTTGCGGTTTCACGGTCGAAACGGTGCGTGGGTGGACCGCGCGGCAACTTTGCCGTTGGTAAATACCACGGGTGCTCCTCAGGGGTTTATTCTGTCGGTAGATAAAAAAAGATTGAAAATTCCGTTGGGTTAGCGAGAACTCGAGGTTTTACGACGAGCTTGTGTACGCGTTACATGTATATCCGGATGTAAACGTCCACATTTTTTTCTTTTGCGGTCAACCCCCAAACCGAGATCCGAAGGGGCGCGAGATAACACCGAAAATATGGGATTTTTCCCCCGGTTTTTGCCTAACGGTCCAATGTTTCGCAGTGACACTCGTTATTCATGCCGTTATTAATTATAAATGACAATGTGCCGCGTCACGTCCTTGCTTAATTATATTTACGGGCCAATTATTCATTTCTTTTTATCGGAGTTTGCTCTACATTTTGCTCACGTATCGCGGTGCTTCGACTTGTTTGACATTCGTTTAGTCATTTCACTAAGGACGAAGTGTACTCACTCGAAGGGTCTGTCCTACCCGAGCTCCTTCGGTTCAGCGCCGGTTAATGTCCTCTCGACTTTCGATGTTGTTGCACTTAATACAATGAAATTAGAAGTACGGGACGCCACGGCACCGTCGCGAGGAAAGACTCCTCGCTACTTACGAGTCCCTACCGAGTCGCCGAGGAAGAGAAGCGGAACGAGGCGATGGCGCTTGCGAAAAGGACAGGCGGCGGACACTCGGGAGAACGAAGTTAAATCCTGTCGGAACGAATTATTCACCCTTCGAACGCACGGAGGTAATGTACTCCCGACGAAAATACGCCCACGGGCCAGAAATAAGTCGGATTGCTTCAGCTGGGGCCGGACGTCGGGTCTTATTTTTTATACCTCGTGAGCTCGCGACTTCTCTTTACTCCCTGTATTCATAGAACTGTCTTGAGATATCTGAGCTTCGATGCAATGCGAACGTTATACCTTCGCTGTTTCTTTTCTCTCTAACTATCTTAAGTACATCTTAAGTTACATGGATGTACATACATGTCGATATACTTTGGTTAAACTGAAACGACCCAAAATTCAATGAACGCGCATATTAATAACACGAAGAAAAAGAAAGGAAAGAGGAAAGAGAAAGAAATAAGGGATGAATGTGGAATGTACGTTTTAAAATAATAGATTTAATTAATTCTTTCTGAGAACGAGTAGTACAAGTGAAAAGAGGTACATAATTACATAACTGTCTGCAATGAGGAGTTCAAGTCTCTGGAATAAATTGGTTCGCTAAAAACGTAACAATCGCACATAAAAAGTTTAAACGGTATAATTAGGTAAAAAACAAAATTATCGAGAGTTACACTCGAACTCTGAGTATCAATTTTGTATTTTCATATGTTTACTCATTCATCGTCACGTGGCGCGCAAATTCTCACGAGTTCGTTTGGCTTCATGACGAAAAGCTGAAATCAATCGTTATTGACAAAGAAGCACTTTAACAAAGGGGAACTATAGAAAGGAAAACGCGTAGGCATCGCCATTCTTTCTCGCGTCGCCGTTCTCGTCAAAATATCCTTCGAGATTGCGCGTTTATCGCAAAACGATGAGATGTTACCCCAGCACGTTGCTTAAAGTAGCATGCCACACACGAAATTTCACTTAAGGCCGTTCATTGTGAAGATGACAAGGATTTTAAACCTTCCCTCCGCTAGTGTGTCAATCATTCGCGAGATTAATCTTTCGTGCAAAGTCCCTCCTGTATCACCCGTTTGTTAATTCTCTCTAGCGAACGTTGTCTCTCAATAACGAATCGAATAATGTAATAAAAAATTCTTTATTAATAAACCCGATATCACGGATAATTTAGAATCTCATTATCTGCATTAAAAAGCGATCGCAATATACTACAAAGAACGTATAGTTACGTCTCGTATAAGATCTCGCCAATATTTGCGAGACGCTCTTCATTCTTAAGTCGCATTGAAGCGGAGAGTTATTAATTCGAAGAAGTTTCAAAACGATTTACAACGACTTATTTCTAAAGAAATCGTCTCTTGAGAGACAGAAAAGTTGCACGAGTATTTGATCTTCCTACGTAGGAATCCGTAGTTGTCCTTTTCACTTCTCTCAAGTAGTAGTAGAATCTTCCGTATGGTCAGCCGCGAGCGAAAGTTTCGGTGCAAACTCCGAAAAACTATATTTCGCTCATATATCGTGTTTCATAAAATTGCAAAAAATTTGTTTAATCTCGTAGATGTAATAAATGTAGAAGCAATAACATAAAAATCCTTAAGAGAAAATAATTTCGTTTCCGTTAGGTGGAAACAGTATCTACGGTTCTTAGAACATGCCACGATTATGAGTTGTGGGAAAAAAATCTGAACGAATCGAGTTTTTAAACAAAGATTGACGACGAACAACGACGTCTATGTATTGACTGCGATACATTGCTCAATCAATGATGCAAAAGACGATGAGTAAAATAGCCAATTTTAGCTTCCTAAATGGCAAGTGGAAACGGTATATTTTCTTGTAATTTTTTAACTGCGCTGAGTCTGATTTTGATTCAAAAAAATCTTTTATTTGGCGTGAAAGTATTAAAATCAACATACGAAGCTATTAAATATATTAAAAGCTATTGTGAGAACGGTATATTAATGATGTTTGGTGCTTAAAAATATTTTTTGCATAAATCTTACAATTTCCAGTAGCAAAATACTACAACAGTAAAATACTTTTAATGAACAGAAATCTATATATTATATACAGAGGAATATATATATATATATATATATGTGTATCGGAAAAAAAAATAAAACATAGAGAAAAAAATTAATGGAACGTAGTCACATTTCGATCCCGAGGGTGTGACTATAAAAAGTTTCTACTATATACAGTGCACGAACATGGGCTGATCAGAACATGAACTATTAGAGTTGAGAACATTATCATATTTTACTAACAGGGAAACACGAATAAATATTAGAAAAAAAAAAGTTCAACAATAATAATTTAAGATACTAAATGTTTAATAGTTTCATACGCTGACTTTAGTATTTTTCCGACGAATTAAAATTTGTTAAAGGTCAAGATTATATTCAGCAGTTCAAAATTACAAAAAGCATACCATTCTTACTTGCCATTCCGGGGGCCAAGATATCGGACCATTTTACCCGTCGTTTTTTTCCATTGGTAATGCATGCAGAGTCAAACAAATCGCTGATTTACCTTGCGTGAGACGGCCCCGCCGGCGAGTCCGTAGTAAGATCAATAAATGTATATGCGGATTACCTAATAGAGTAGTGCCAAAGGAGCCCCAATCTCACGTATCGAAGTTTAACGCGTAAACATTGACCTCATCTCACTCAGCGGAAACAGCGGCTTCGGAGCGGTTGTGCACGCGAAGGCTGGCGGTCCGACTGTAACAGCTCACGGACGTTTGATTTTCCCGTGGAATACTCGAATCGAGGCGCGCCAATTGAAATTTCGAGTAATCACCTTTGCAAAACCCGATATGCTGTAAACCATTCGAAAGCCATTCGCGAGCGTGCCGTAAATAAACACACGTAATCCGCGAGATAAACCTGAATTATTTTTTCCGCCACGGGCCGAAAGTTATTTCGCGAATAATTTGACGTCGCCCGATAACGCCGACACGTAACATCATTTCGTAACGCCGAAGCGCGGCCCGCTCGTTTGTTTCGGTTAGTTCCACCTGACCGGATCACGGTAAATCTTTATTTTAAAATTACTGACGGGATTATCAGCGGAAAATGTCATCGGCTGGATTTTAGCGCGTGCGAATCGGCAAAATGATAGATTCATCATTTTTCTCGTGTCACAAATATTGGACAAATACGGACACGCGAGCGTATCAATTTCCGTCTGGTAATTAGAGCGGCTCCCGACGAAATACGGCAAGATACGCGACACAAATGAGTCTCCTCGTCGCGAACGTTTCCTCGAAGCTTCGCTTCGCCTCGTCCCACCGGTCCAAACGTTCACCCCGCTTCAGGTGCTCCGTCAGGTGCTACCCGCGGAGGAAGACGGTCGACCTGTCGACGCGTAGGCGAAAAAGAGACCGCCGACGTGGCTGCACTCCGGTATACTCGGAGCGACGTATCCAGTGGCGGTGCGCAGGTGGAAGAAGGTCGGAAGGTTACGAGAGCGCAGACGCCGACTGAAAGCATCGAGGATAGCACCCGGCGCGATACCGAAGTACCGGACAGAGCTAGCTCGCCCGCATTGCCGTATTCGTCTGCCAGCGTGTCAGGTCGCAGGCAACAGCCATTGGGGAACGACGCATTCTCGGGTGTCTTCCACCGTCTCGCCTCGAGCACGTTACCGCGGGAGTTCAGATTTCGCGATACAGAAGCACCGCTTTGACCGCGGCGAGGGCACAGCACAATCCGCCGCAGCGTGTACGTCGACGTCGCCGATTCGGAAAACCGTCGACGCGATTCGCCGCCGCTTTCCCGCGCTCTCGGCACGAAGCGCGCACACACATTCTCTCTCGTAGTCGACGTGTGACCTGCTCGACCACGTAAGTAGCAACCCGGGGATCCTCGTCATTCACGGACGACGGCGCGTGAGGAGTTTGATGAACTTTTCGAAACGCGAAAACGTGGGATCCGCGAGTATACGTGCACGCGAACTTCCGGGGTAATTGGAATGCGCGCGATCGCGCATAAATATGAATGAGATTTCCGCGGGCTAGGCAGGAGGGAGAGGGAGGGGGGGAGAGAGAGAGAGAGAGAGAGAGTCGAGTGCGGAAAATCCGCGTTTCCAGTGTGTGAAATATTAAGCTCTATGTAAATATCGATTGCGCGCGGAGATATGAAATGGATACGTGCGCGCCAAGAGATTTATTAGTTCCTTCATTTCAATTCGGATTTCCGTTACCTCTTTTTACTTCAACGGAAATAAATACAGGAGTTCTCAACGGGTATATTTTGCGGCCGTGATCGGATTTAAATCGGATACCGAAAGCCCGTTTGCTAATTAATCGCGTGCGCGTTTACCGCGTCTACCGCAAACTTGTGATTCACCGCGCACTATAATCTTCCGTTTGACCCTTATTGGTTTCCTTCACGACTGATGGAACATCCGAGGGCCTTTAAACGGGAATTTTATCCTGTAATCAAACTCGAGAGTTTAACAAATTCCCCCGCTGTATCTTTGCGAGCGATCGAGTTTTTGCGAGCGGGCCTTTGTTGTCGCAATCGCGGCGCTCTCGTCGAAATAAAATCTCGGGGATAAAATTTGTCCGACAGAAGAGTTAGTCGAATTAATTCTCATCACTCGTGCTAATGTAATTATTTCATATATTGCAACGGGGGATTAATCCCGGCACGGACGATGCGTTTTCACCGTACTGCTCGCCGCAATGCTCTACCTCTGATCTTCCCACACACAAATATTCTAGGCCACGCCACCCCCTGTGTCGAACACAGCTTCCTACTTCGCGCAAATGCCTGAATCGTGCGAAAGAAACGCGTCACGCACGTACACACGCATTCACGCATGTAACCGGGATTTAGTAGAGAAAAAAATGATAACTTGCCGTGTATACGCTCAGCATTCATGATTTACTAAACGCATTTGATCCCTTTCGGTAACAGCCGCTGAATGCGTGTGGGCGAATTTTTGAAAATTTTGAAATTTCACACTTGCAGTTGATTGAATCGTACATAAAAGGCAAAAATCCAAATTTTTTTTAGCTTAATATGTTGATATCTTACGTAGAATTCAATGTGCTCTTTACCAATTACGCGATACAATCGAATAAAAGAATATGAACGTCCGGATTTTTATATTGACTCGGACATCTGTCCAATGTTCCCAGCCGCGATAAAGCGAAAGCCCGAAAGTTTCGCATTCATCGTCTAACCCTTCATAGGACCCTCGCTATTCGCATCGTTTCACGTCGAAGATTCTCCGGTTTAATGATTCAAGAGACGTTTAATGAAAAAAGGAGAGAAAATTATCTCTCGAAAAATTGTTGTAACGAGTCGTATGCGGAGGCTCCTTGCGCTTTATAATTGGCGCTAACGATTTCAAAGACGCGCCAGTTCTCGCCGTAGGTATTTCTTAACGGTTCTCGTCTTAAAAATAAGTCGTTGTCTTTGTGTATAAAGTAATTCTCGTTACGGAATATCACACGTCCGCGCTTCCGGTTGGAACTTCCTCAGCCGAAAAATAGCGTCGCGTTTATTTTCCAGCGAATGCTCGAATGAGACTCGACGGCAGCGATATATCTTCCCTCGTCACCTTATTTTCTCCTACACGCAACACTTGCTTCGCAAGCACACCGCCGCGCTCGTCCGCTTCTCCTTCGCGTCGTGTTCGCTCTTGTTGCTCTTCCGAAATCGATCGCCGCCGTCGCCGCCGCCGCCGCTGCTGCTGTTCGTCGGGGTCGCTGGACCAAAATTTCAGATTGCGCCCTCGTACGCTTAGTAGTGTGCGAATCGTTCGAATTCGAATTGAACGGAATCACTGCTGATTCGATTTGAGTTCGTTTTCGAATCTGAAAAGTTAGAATTCGAATAGTTCGATAATTTTGAATCATCGGCGATTCAATTTTAAATCGATCACGCCCTCGATTACTTCATTTATATCGGAAAATGATAAACGAATGGGTCATCGAAATTAAAAACTAGTTCCTCAGAACCATTTTTATCGTTAACAAAACTATGCGTGTAAGAGTGTTCTTTTGCTAAATAATTATTGATTATGTATTTAATGCTAAATAATAACGCCAATAAAATACGTGGTTTACACAAAAAATTAAAAATAATTAATTTCATAATTTTTCAAACATATTGTGTTCATATTTATCAGTTTGTAAAATGTGATTAAATTTAGACATTCCCCCCTTCCCTTTCGTCACAATTTCGTCGCAAAGTATTTACTCTCTTCTAATATTATGTGACATGTGAAATTACTTCTCCCCTTTCTTGCCGATACATGGAAAAAAAATAACTTATAACCATATTGTGAGTAGTAATTATTAGATTGAACGCTACTATCTTTTTCTAAAATACAAATAATTTTTAGGCGTATAATGTTAAATTGATTACTTTATAATTTTGATTAGTAAAAGTTGTGTTTTTAAAAGAATAGATGCTAAAAAATTAACATGTTGATCATTAACACAAAATGATGTCAAAATTTGGAAATTTTCGCCAAATGTAACCAAATGTGTCACGAACAAACACGGGTGGGCACGCGCATCTATATTTACAAGCTATACCATCTAATATAACGTTCCACGGCCTTTATTCCATCCCTTCCTGCAATCGCAGACGGCAAGCTAATACACCCGTGCCCCTCTCGTGGTGACGTAACTGCTGAATGGCCTCTGAAAGTACTTTATCATGTTCGGATTACCATGTAATGTAAATCCCGCGGAATCTGATTCGATTCGCATTCGAAGTAAAGAGATTTGATTCGACTTCGAACATATGATTAAAGATGCAACTCGACTCGTCTCAACACGCGGATACTTGATCTCCACATCTCTACGTACGCTCTCGTATATCGAGGGTGCACGTAGTCACACCCTTAAAGATTCGACGCGAATTTTGCCCCGAACCGATTCACCCGTCTTCGGAAAACGGCGCAGTAGATCGGTGACGTTTGCCTCCAGCACGCTCGGGGCGTTCGCGCGTACCGACTTTGACAGCACGTGCACCCCTTTAACAACCGCGCGAGGGTGAGGCTTTGCGAGTCGCAGAGCCACGCTCAAGACTGGCCTGTTAATAAAACGCGGGCTCAATTTCAGCGGGAATCTGGTCGCTCTTGGAACTGTGCGCGGCCCCCGGAAAGCAATCTCGAACCTCTGTCCTAGAGGCCGCGCCGCAAACGCGACCCCCACCCGATCGTTCGGAATTATATCGGACTTTCGTCGAGCTTGCGCCGCGCGAGAGACGACACGATGTTCGGAAGCTGCCGAGTGCGCGCGAAGTGCGCTCGTTCCTTTATGTTAATCCCATTTGGCGAATCTTAATGGACTGATATCAAGTTTCATCTAAACTTTGAGCGGGAATCATGTGTCCACGCGGGGCCGTACAAAAGGCGTGCGAAACCGGCGCGAGAGTTGTTTCGGTGGAAAGTTTCCGTATAATCCCGAAGAACTATGCTCGCCCGTTCGCGCGAGCACGCGGAACTTGGAATGACTTTTTCAACGTAGTTTCTTTAACGGCCTAGTGAGGAAGCAATGACGTTCAAATCTGTCGCCCGCCGGCGAGTACCTCCAGCGATTTCTATTTTAATCCTGCCGGCAACATGCCAGGCCTACGAAGCCTACGACGCGTTTTATTTCGCTTATCATCTTCCACGTTATACCCCATTCTTATTCCTTTGTCAGAAAGAAAAAGTTAGGTTCACGTTACCATAGAAATTTTATAACAAAACTGTGCTTTTTGTTAAGCAAAACTAATTTTTTAAATATATTTTAGTAGGGAGCCACATTATCCTCGTTTCTCTTTGATCTATTATGTAATATCATTACATTTTTATATAAATAATATCCTAAGTAATAAATATTTCATAACCACAAGTATAACTTTTCTCGTGGGAGACCTATGGTTACTTCAGCGCCCAGATCGCGGGTATTATTCTGAAAGTTAAAGCTTGCTGGACGTCCCAAATTGAATCCAACGATTATTCGGTGATTAACTGACCGCCTTTGACCGCCGTAATGAATATATAACACACTCTCGTGTGTGTCACGTTACATTGTAAGCGGAGAAATTGAAAAATATGTTTTGTCACGCGCTCGTGTGTTCTAATTAGACTAAACGCGCGTAATCTCGACGCTTCGATACGACTGCATTAATTAGCTGTCTTCGTTGCTTTTGTCGTTCGTTGCTTTCACATCGTAGTCGCTTAAACGCTGTTTTTATCACGGGCCTCTTTCATATCCATTAGATACTCTCGGTAACTCCGGAGTCTACTCGTCGTTTCCGTCGGATTTTCGCGCGAGACAATTCGCCGTGGTGTCGTCTCGCGTCGCTTTCCTATCCGAAAGTCACTTTCTTGAAAGTTACTTCACGTAACTGTGTAGACTTCGCGTGACTCTTGGCGTATTAAAGCTACCGAGCAATGTCCCGCATCGCGAGGCGCCGTCGCTTTTCTCTCTTCCGGGGGCGAAATACGCGCCACAGCCGGCGTTTCCAGCAAACGTCACTTGGAGTTAGTAATTAGCAATTATTCGCACGAACGGTGAGAAGGATCGGCGCCGTTTGATCTTCTGGCTAGCCGGCCGAGCAATTCCGATGAATTGCGGCGCGCTTACTCGGCAAAACAATATTGATCTAAATTAAACAAGAGCAAGAACAGGAAGCACTCTCTTCTTCAAAGTGGAACATGTGGCCCGGCTTTCCTAAATTATTCGATTTTCACCCGCCTTCTGCGTTCTCTTGTGCCACGTGGGCTTTTTTGCAATTTTGCGGTTTCCGCTTCGCCGCACGTACTCGCGTAATTATCTTGGAGAGAAGCCCTTTGGAAAGAAACGCCCTCGCGACTTGTTTCAGCGCTTTG